TTTTTTTTTTTTTTCAGGCTTCTTCCCAATTGCTTAAACTGGGAAATATACTGCGATGATCATTCTTCACTTTCATCTACAACAGCAGTTCAAATATGAATTATTTCATATATACTTCACGATGTTTGTTTTAATTCACACAATGTTGCTTTAAGTCATTCATTCCCGAAAATATGTTTTGCGGTTTCGATGCTAGAAAAGACAATTGACGAGACTGGCAAATGTGTACTTCTCTCGTTCCAGCTGTTATCAACGTCCACGATATTCACACAAACTAGAATAATTACATACACGATTTGTTTTCATTCATTCCATCGTAAATAAAATATTTCATCCTTTCGGAACGAAAAAGCCCTTCAAATTTGAGGCAACTTTTGTTTTGTGTGACTCTGGTGGAAAAAGGAAATATCAAGGCATCAAATATCTCTTGTAAATGTAAAATCATTGGCCTTAACATCTACGAGAGATGCTATGTAAACACTGCAATGGACATCATAATTTTCATTCAATGGGCTACTTTTATTGCTTGAACTGAATGGAACTGATCACCATTTAATAGCCTTTAACTTTTATTCTTTGGTGGTTTACCTTCGAAAACATAAGAAGGTTTTTTCCTCCTCGTGTAATTTACAGACTTACAACTTTCCCCAGTTAGGTCTCATATCAGGCGCTGGGTTAATTGAAATCGTCTAGCTTTCAATCTGTTGTTCATTTTGTCATGATTTGCATAATTCCTGAATTAGTACTTGTATGTCATTATTTCCATCTGATACAGCGAAATTTTTGCTGAGTATGAATGCCATGATAACTTGTGCAGTGTAATGCCTTTCAAATTATTTAGTATCAAAGTAAGTTACAGTGATACTCAGGACACTCAACGGAAGACGTGAAAGAAGTGTACACTTTGAAATAATATGCATGTCACAACACTAGCTGTCACATTTGGATGAGCAAGTTCAAAGTTTCAGGCTAATTGCAATGGTTTGTCATCTTGTCAACATCAAGGCACCTTATTTCGGTGGTAGCGGTACAAAGCAGTTTCTTTGAGCAGTAAAATTTTCAACTGCACTTGTTTATTTGCTGTGTTTTGATTTGAATTTTGATTTACAAATCATGCATTTGTTTTGAACTGAAGTCGTGCTTT